CGGTGTGTCATATTCTCTTTGATGCACCCACTCTGACTTGATTACCCTTTATACATATATTTTCTTTCTATTTTCGAGTATTTTTCAGTGTAGTATGTTATTTTAAATTTCGAGGATGAAATTATTTTAAGGGGGGTAGATTGTTACAACCACCCCCAAATAATTGTAATATTTGTTATTTTCACCCCTAAGCTGCCACGTGTCAGCCATCTAACCCTCTCTTTTCTCTCTTTCTGCCCCCCCCCCCCCGTGATCTCTCTTTTCTTCTTCTTCGTCTCTCTCTCACGTAGCTCTCTCAACTCTCCCGTGTATCTCTCTCTCCCTTAACCTCTCGCATCTCTCTCTCTTTGGACTCACGAAGATCATATCACCAACATGTGAGACTCGCAACGAACCCAGGTTCCCTGCCCTGTGAACTCGACGGCACGGAGCAAAGCTCCGGTGAGCTTTCTTTCCTTTTTCCCGTCGGGTAAGTCTCGAATCCCTCGTTCTCGTACCTAGCATGATGCTTGGTTGTGTTTTAGGAGGTTGATCCTTCCATTTTTACGTAGGTTTTGCCTCGGGATTGTGTTGGGTGAAGCACACCCGTTTTCCCAAATTCAATTACTATTATATAGTTTTATTAATTGAGCCCTTTATGTGCTTTGGGGCAATTATAGTGGCATTTCTGTCTTCGCTAGCTGCGTGACTTTTCGACGGCAAAGTACTGTGAGTGGACCCCTTCTAAAAATGCATGTTTTAATAGTAGAAATGCATACATGAAAGACATGATTTACTGATTACGTTTTATGAAACGTTTTGAGATAACATGCTTACTAAGGCTAGTTTGAATTATTATTATTTTTCCTATACCCCATGTTCTTATAGAATATCCGATGGATGACGATATGATATTTAGAACATGTTTCGAACACCTCTTTATAGTATAGATGATGGATGACTTTATACTATGAAGTTGTTTTCAATATATATATGTTCAGTGGTTTTGTACTTACCTAGTGGTCATTTCCGCTACGGGACGTAGGGATAGATTCTGGTCCGTCCCGGGCAACGGTTTGGTGTTGGCATAAGGCCTGGAGTGTGTTTCCTCTGGCTATTTAGCACAGGGACGGGGAGCCGGCATGGGGCCTGAAGTGTATTTTCCTATGATTATCTGCTCAAAGATGGGGAGCCGGCATGGGGCCTGGGGGTTATCGGACAATTCACTAGTGATTATTAGATATACAAGTTATGATTTGAGACATTGCATGGCATGCTAGGTTTCGGAAAACCTATGTTTATCATTATATATGTGTTTTCATAAAACCTGGGGGTTAGTACGTTGATAACTGTTTTATTATATCTATATCAAATTGGTCCACTCATGTTTGTTTTGCGCCCCCTTCAGGACTTAGAATCGAGGCATACAATCCCGGCATCCAGACACTTCCGCATTGGTATCTTCGAGTCCTCTCTGTGTAGAACCCACTTCTGTGTTCATTCAATTTTTATACTAATTCTTTTAGACTTCTAGATTAGATGTGTGCTCTGAACACGTTCCTTAAATGTATATTCCTTATTATTTTACATTTATAAGTTTTATCTATCCCTTGTTTTCAGCATTTGCACTCAATAAATGGCTTTCGTCACCCTCGGGTGTCGGCCAGCACGAGCCTATCCTAGTATTCGGGGAATATCGGGGTCGGGACGTGTCAATTTCATAGGCCCCAACCACAGATCTATTGAAAACAAAATCAACGGAAAATAAAATCATACAGAAATCAATTGAAAACAAAAGGTCCACTTGATAATCCACAAAGCCACAACATACAAATAGCAATATTGAATCCCTTAATCGAATAATTTAGCAAATTAACCCCTAATTCCTAAATCCCCAAATTCAAATTCAAAAAATAAAACTAAAATTAGGTGGCGAGAAGAAAAGAAGCAGGGGCCTATGAGGTGGTAAGGGCAAAGGTTCGATGGAGCACTAGATTCAATCAACAGAAGGAGGATGAGGAAGCAGCGGCGGCTGCGGAGGACTTAGTACTTACAGTTAAAGAGCATATCTGACGAGAAGGCTGGAAACTCAGCGCCTGGATTCGTGGACCAGCGGAAACACTTGACTGTCGACTATCGAGATTCAAGAATGAGGGTTGAGGAGATTTAGTCTGGGTTCATGAAAGAGATTGTGAAAGTGAGAACTGAGTTAGTGAGAAGACCCGTGTGAATTGTATGTGTGTGATACGGTCCAGGCAGGGGGCCCTTGTATTCAGAAGTTTGGATCTGCCCCACCCTACTATTTACTTGAACCCACCTTGCCCCGCCCCATTTTCTCTATAAATTATTTGGACCTACCCTGAACCCGCCCTGTTTGCCCACCCTAAGTAAATATTGCATCGTCTTAAGAGTGTGATTACTTGCGGCGCACACCAAATCCCTAGATTGTAGGAATTTCAAAGAATATAGAAACCTTATTTACTCCATACTAGATCAGGTCTATGTATTTTGCGGAACAAGAATGATCAATCTCAACAAAGTCGATGGACTTCACCCACTTATTCGGAACATGATGATGTTGGCATCGCTAATTCATTTATACAGCTCGATGAGTTTAGAGCTATTGATCAATTACTGGACTTTTGAGGTGTTGGAACCAAATTTGTGCATCACCGTGAAAGGTGGAAATGTACAAGCATGGTCAATCTCAACAATGTCATTGGACTTTGCTTACTTATTCTGGAACAGGATGATGGTGGCATCGTTGCTCTGTGTATTCAGCTTTGCAGTGGAGCATGTCGAGTCCATAACCAGACTTCAAAGGTACTTGTATTCTGATCCACCTTACTCCGGCCTTAGAACATTCTCGCTTCTCATATTAAGTTATAGCCTTGCACACCATGCACGCCATATGCATATAATGGAAAAAATTTCACAAATTTTTGCAATTGGACACTTGAAACAGAAATTGGAACATACCCAGTATTCTAGCATGTCAAAAGGTAATTTTTTTTTTCCACAACCTATAGGCCTCAACATGAAACACAAACCCTAATTTAACTTCTAAGTATTAGTTCATCTTAGAAACAACCCATTTATTCCATAAATTATTGATATAGAAACTTGGAACTAAACACCCTACCTTACTATGCCCGCTGAAGCTTCAATCGTAGGAAAAAATGGAACTTTCCAGACAAAACAGAAAATATGGCACAAATGTCCTATCTTTAAGTATGGAAGAATCTATTGTATTTGGTTATGGAAGAATAATACACATAGTTCACAGATCTAAGCTCAAACCCAAAACCCCTGACCTGACCTTACTTTTTTTCACTTCTCTCTTGACATCCCTATGCTTGAAATTAGAGCTATGAGCTCAACCCAAAATCCAGCTCACTTTTCCCATCTCTCTCTCGACTTCCTTCTCTTCGAAATCAAAGTTCACACATCTGAGCTCAATCCAAAAGCCCACACAGCTCACAGCTCTCCCTTTCTCGACATCCCCAACTTCGAAATCGAAAAATGGCACAATGAGCTGTGACTTTTTACAATTTATATGTGGTTATTTTTGTCATTTCACTTTTGTGCATGGTGTGCATGGCCGGTTTGTCCTATTTTGGTCCAAAGATTAAGAAAATGGCTTATTTATGTCAATTTCCATTTTTTTAAACTTATATAGAATAATAATACAACAATAAATATTTAATGTCCATTATATACACTGTGACTCTTGTATTTTATAATAAGTTTTTTTAGTAGTTTAACTTTAAAATCATCAAAATAATTTTTTTTCTTAATGGGTTGAAACGAGTTACTCACGGTAACTTGTGTAAACTCATTAATGACATGTTATTAACGAGTGACCTGATAATGACATGATTAGTTATTGTGTTGATCCGAAACCCATTATTTTGGTGTCGTGTTAGCGGGTTGAGGAATTAATTGCCATGTCTAAAACACATCATTTGGTTTATACAATTTGGTTTTAAAATTTGATCTCCCTAATATTACCCAAATTATTGAACCAAATTTTTATAAACCAGATGATGTGGATGTTGATGATTGGATTACTTCCTATTAGTGACACATCATTTAGTTTGCCAATTTGGTTTAAGAATTTGGTCTCCCTATTATGTTTTGTTTAAACAGTTAAGTCAACTAATTGTCTTTCCTTTGTAAACAAATAATTGCTTACAAATAATCAATTCCATAAAACACAAATAATTGCTTATAATAAATAATAATTGCAAAATGTATAATTATAAATGTTTTTACAATCAAACTATTTATATATTTAACGAATTTATAACGAATCAAATTGAATATCGTACTGTCTATGTGTACTCTGTGACGAATGATACTATAGTTACTAAGGAATTCCGTACCCGAACGAATCGCGAACTCGAACCGTACTCCGTATTTGGCAACAAACCGTACTCCATATTTGGCAACAATGGTTCGAGACTTAGTTGAAGCTAAAATGTTGAATGATCAAGTAAAACTTATATAGGCTATGGCCGAAGCCTTGTTGCCTTGTAAGAAAGCTGTCAGCATAGATATAAGCTGCTTTCTTATTAATCCCTTTGTTTTTCTTCTGATTTCCTTGGTTATTTTTCAATTAGATTATTTGCATTACCATCTATTAGTGATGAGAGATATTAGATACATAATTGTATACAATCGATAACACTGCTAAGAGCACTATTGACAGCCTTTCTTCAGGTCGTTTAAGACAAAGGTGTAAGCCTAGAAACCCTTTGTGGTACTTTGGCAGGGCGAGCGGCCCTTAAACTGAAAAGGGTTTGAAAACACCTCAAGAATCTCTTAGTGTAGATTAAAGTAATAATATTGCTCGTAATAAAAACGAATGTCTTATTTTTTAAATAGCAGAACAACATGACAAACAATATTGCTTAGGCTGGCTAAACAATTAGATAAAATTATTTAAATTAAATTTGGTATCTATAACTAGTGAGGCACACCAACCATAGCTTTGTCTTTGACATTCGCTGTAACTCCAAATCTCGTTGAAAATAATTCAAGAAAAAAGAACTCCATCACCTATGTTGCCAATTATTACTTCATATCATCGTCTGCGGAATCAATGGGTGGGATATTTAGCAAGAAAGGAGAATCTGGATTCTCTGTCTCTTCCACCGCGGAGAAAGTTACTCAAGGGATTGACGGAAGCGGTCTTACCGCCATTGTTACAGGCCATGTTCTTCTTTACGCTTTCTATAATTAACTTCATTGCCTGTGTCTCTCCAACTAAGGTTGTAAGGTTGCTAAATACTTTAGTGTGCGTGAACTTTGTTTATATTTCAGGAGCTTCAAGTGGTATTGGCGTAGAGACATCGCGTGTTCTTGCAGGGATTATGGCAACTCCATTCAAGCTCTCCAAAGACAACATAAAACTCCATATCGCAACTAACCATTTAGGTACGCTCCCTAACATGTCTAATGAATTTCTTCCATGAGGCCAATGGATCAAGTTTTTAACAAAGTTTCTTTCATCTTGTTACTTAATATTATTACTAAAACCATCCAATGTGCAGGTCATTTTCCCCTCACAAATCTTTCTTTAGAGACCATGAAAACCACATCACGAGAAAGAAAAACAGAGGGAAGACTTGCTAATGTATCATCGCTAGGTCATCGATATATATACCGTGATGGATTTTGTTTTGACAAAATTAGTGACGACTCAAGGTATACTTTTGTATATGCAGCATCATTTTGAAGAATTTAGGGTATATATATTCTGGTTTAATAAGTTGACATCTGTTTTTTTGTTTAATTGTTCGAGCCTTCGAGGTGTATGTTAGATAATGATCAACAATCTTCCCTTTTTACTTGCTAATTTTTAGATACCAGAAATATTATGCTTATGGACAATCCAAGCTTGCTAACATATTGCATGCTAATGAGCTTACAAGGCGTCTGAAGGTATTGAATTCCTTAAAATCATCAATCACCATGTCTTTTATTTCAGCATATATATTCATATAAGTTATTAATGCACTTTAAAATGACTCTTGATTGATACGGTAACTTATTTTCAAAACAAACTAAACAGGAAGAAGGGGCAGAGGTAACAGCTAATTCTCTTCATCCTGGAACAATGCTCACCAATTTTATGCGCTATGATTGCTTTTTATGGTGTAAGTTTCAGCTCCTATACCCTACAACTTTGATCACTTTTGAATGTTCTCGACAGTGCAACTTTTGTCTGGTTTTCGACTGATCAATTTATGTTCTCTTTGGCTTGACACAGGTCTGCTTAAGGTGCTGGGCATATTGGTCTCCAAAACAGTTGAACAGGTACTTCTTTTACCTTGAACTATTTATGTAGTATGTAGCAGCTGATTTTATTTTTCAGGCACAAACTACACATGTAATAACATTTTATATCATCTATGCTTAAAATTATTTCTTGAACATGGCTGTACGTGTAGGGTGCGGCAACAACATGCTTTGTGGCGCTCCATCCACAAGTAAAGGGAGTAGGGGGCAAATACTTTGTAGACTGCAACGTCACCAAACCGAGCTCTCAGGCAAAAAATGCAGATTTGGCTGCAAAACCCTGGGATTTTAGCTCGAGTTTGACCAATCCGGAGTAGCAGGAGTTAATGTTCTTTCTGAAGTGTCGTGAAATAAAATTGTCAAATTGTAAACTGCAATCAGATACTGGATCCAGACTAAAGTTCAGATTTGTACTCAATTGTCTTTAAAATTTAGTTATCAGGCATGTTACCATCAGCCAATCCTTACAAGATATGCTGAAGCAGCTTCATTGTATTTTGGTTGTCTTTTCATATATTTGGCATGACCTGTAGGGAGCAGCAACTGAATGTTCCGTGGCGTTGCATCATTATATTAAGGATTTCAACGGTGAATGTACCATGGACAGCAACAAAGCCGATCTGAGCTCTCAAGCTAACGATGCCGAATTGGCAAAGAAGCTTTGTGATTTCAGTTTGAATCCTGTAAATTTAGGACATAAACAGCAACAACTTTTTCCTTAGGATTGACTACACACATTGACATTTAAGTAGTGATGCTGAGAATGAATCCAATATTGATTGAAAAAGGAACATTGCATGCATCAGCGTATACACAATGGGTTCAAATAAACTTTCTCACAAAAGATTTGGGGCAGTTGCCAGTAGGAAAAAATTGGAAAGTGGATCTAAACCCGTTCAGCATTTAGTCTAGTTGAATTTTTTTTTTTTCCTTAGTTGTTTGAAAAGTCGGGAGGATATTTTTCGGGGACTAGAGTGGTTTGACTAGGTTGTGTTTCTCCTTTTTTGTCATATTGTCTACACTTTCTTCTTCATTTTTTCTGAAAATATGACTTTAGCCCCTGAAACTCAAGTTTCTTTACATAAAACCCGACATAGTCTTTTTATCTGAATAAAACCTAATGACTAGGCTCCACATAAGCAAATTCATTAATTTTGTTTGCCTTTACACATTTTACATTTTGCAGATGCCTAAAATACCCCTAATTACCGTTTTAATGTAAACATTTAAATCTATGCAAATTTGAAAGGAGAGATTAATGGAAAAAAATGCATTAATGTTTAAAATAATAATATGTCATAACAAATTGTATGTTAAGGAAAAAAAGAACTAATAATGTTATACTTTCCTTCGTAATTATTTTTCAAATTTGCATAAAATTAGACAATTTTAATTTAATCTTGTCATTTTCTTACCAAATGAAAATATGAAAGGGCACTATAAAATAATTTAGCTATATTTAAAAAATATAGGTAAATTATTTGGACATGTGTATTAGTAATAAATTTGCCCTGTATATGTAATGATACATGTAATTTACTTATAAAATAAAAAATGTTATTTGATTTCAAAATAAATTTATCTATATTTTATATAATAATATAGGTAAATTATTGCACACATATATATTAGTAGTAAAATGTGCCCAATATATATAATAATGCATGAAAATAATTCACCTACAAATAAAGGAAATTTGATTAAAAAATAATATATCTACTACTTTTTGTTTATAAATTTCAATTTCTTTTTTTTATATTACAAACATAATGTACCTACAATATAATTTACCTATTGTTTAATCCTAAAAGAAAATAATGTATCTACTGTTTTATTTTTTATTTATTTTTTGTCGAATAGCTACTGTTTTATTTTAGTAGAGATAATTTGTCTTGGTTTAATTCTTACGAAATAATTTAGGCACTGTTTAACTTTACCAAAATAATGGAACTACTATTTTAATTTACCTACAAAATAAATGCTATTTGATTCAAAATTAATTTACTTATATTTTACATATAAATATAGATAAATTATTTTTAACAAGCATATATGATAACAAACAAAAAATGCCTAATGTATGTAATAATCTAGGTAAAGTAATTTACCTACAACATAAAAGAATATTAATTGGTTCTTTATTGTTTTTTATCCAACAATATTATTTGATGCAAAATAACTGATTGTACAAAGGATTTTTTTTTCATATGAAAAATTTGCCCATAATTGTTTATGAACATGGCTAAATTAATATATATATATATATATATATATATATATATTCCTAATATTTACCATACAAGAAAGGTGAACTTTTCCATATGGGGTTAATTACTAATCATAATTAGGGTGAGTAATAATATTTATTGACATAATTAGGGTTTTGTGGCATAAGTTGTAAATATGTGATAATAATTGGTTACATATTTGTCTACATGGTACTCTATTTGAAATTTGGGTTTTATTTGCATATTTAATATTAGGTGGGTTTTTGTTTGGAAAATAAGAGTTTCAAGGGTCTTTTTCTAAAGAACCCTAATATCTTTAGATCATTCGTGATCTATTTTGACCACATGGTCATCAGGTGATGAGTTGTGTAGCTATCTTCGGCTGTAGATTTTCTTTATAACTTGCAGTGTTTTGCTGCCACTGTTTTTTGTGCTTGAATCTGGAACAAAGTTTCAATCTTTCTCCTTCGTTTTTCCACAGTTCTGCTGTTTTTTTGCATTGAAAGTGCAAAATTTTATGTGTTTGTATCAAAACCTCAAGTTGGTGAATTTAAAATCAAGGGAAAAACCAAATTTCTTTATATACAACGATATATGTATATTAAGGAATGAGAAAAATTAAATGATATCAAAATCACAATTCACGACTCGCGACCCTCATATCCCTTTCTTCCCCGTTGCGCTCTCTCGCAATATGCGTTGACTCCATTGGAGCACGCAGGGTGCGTCAACAGCATGCTGGTTGTTTTTTTTTTCAAAGTCATGTGAAACTTGTCGAACAAAGGATATCCGAAACTCTATGGCTGAAAATCCAGAATTGGCAAAGAAGCTACAGAATTTCAGCCTGAGCCTGACTGATCCAGACTAGTTCGGAACTAGGCCGGTCCTGAGTTTTTGGGTGTCTAGTGCGAAAGCTCAAAATGTGCCCTTTTTTAATACGGAAACATATGTTAAAAAAAAAAAATATTTAACGAGGGTTGGAACCCAGTCGAAGCTGGGGGGCTAGGCCCTCACGCCCAAATTATATTACTTGAGAAAATATACAACGGGGGGATATAGTACCTAAACCCCGACAATCAAAAATACAATCATATACAACCATTCCTAGCAAAGCTCATTGAAATTTAACCTTTAAGAAATTGTCTTCTGGCATTTTTTGAAGCAAAATCATCAATTATATCATTATACTCCAAGTCTTCAATCTCATCATTTTCAATGCATAAGATTGCTAATCCATTTAGCCTATCTTGAGTAATAGTGGTCCGCAAGTAAGATTTTAATAATTTCAATTTTGAAAAACTTCTTTCTGCAGATGCCACAGTCACAGGTACAGTCAACAGTACATGATAAGCAATCAAGACATTAGGACACATGTCAGTTTCTTTTACAAAGTTTGCTATTTCCATGGATGTCCAAGGGTTATTGGAGAGAAATGCTTCTTCAGGTAACATCATTTGCAACACATGTAATTCGGAACATAAATCGGCTCCATCTACATCCATGGTATTTCCATGTTTCAAATGTGCTTCAAGATTCCTACAATTTTCTTTTAGCTGTTGCTTATCCAATGAAATTAACTTCGGTGCATCAAACAAGCCAAAAATAGATTCAAAAGCCTTTAATTGTTCAAACCTGTGTTTCAGTTGAGAAAAAACAATATCCACTATAACTAGAAAATAATCTGTTCTAAATGATTCTTCAGCAGACTGTTGTTCCCTCTCATTACCATCAACTTCATCATGATGTTTTTTTTAGGTCTATGACGTTTAGTTTGAAAAACAAGGTCAATTTCCGAATCAAGTGCAATTTCTTTAGCATCACGCATGACAGAAGCAAAACCAGTTTCTCTGTAGTTTTCAAAAAAGGTAACAAGTGCTTCCAATGCCTTTACAGCAACATCAAGACGCATGTCCTCAGATTGTAATTTTATGCTCACCATGTTAATCTTCAACAAAATGTCATACCAAATAACCAAACTTAATACAAAATCAAAACTAGAAAGTTCTCCTGATGCTAAACATCCTGCATCCCTACTCAATTGGGGATTCTCAGTAATTTCCACCAACGTAAACAAAGCATTTCTAACTTGAGCTACTTGGGATTTAATTGCTTTAACACTTTCAATGTGACTTTCCCATTGAGTAGTTGACAATGACTTCAAAGTTAAATCATCAATATGTTCAAGCAAAATATTCCAACGCTTTGTAGAGTTAGAAAACACCGTATATATGCATTGACATACTCCAAAAAAAGATTTTTCTTTAAGACATGAACTTGCCATATCACAAACTATTAAATTAAGACAATGAGAACCACATGACATGTAAAAGGCTCTGGGATTTATGTCTAGCAATCTTTTCTGGACACATTGGTGTTTCCCTCTCATGTTAGATCCATTATCATAACCTTGTTCCCTCACATTATCAATATCAAGATCAAGAGACTTTAGAACATCTTGCAACTCATTAAAAAGTCATTGTCATGATGTATCTTACGCACTTAAAAACTTCATGAAATACTCCTTTATATTTATTGACCTACTTGACAAGTCAACACATCTCAAAATTAAAGTCATCTGTTCCACATGACTTGCATCAGGAGTACAATCAAGAATGATAGAAAAAAATTTGGCTTATTTTACTTTTTTAATGATTGTGGTTTTGACTTTTGAAGCTAAAGTAGCTATCAACTCATTTTGGATTTTATGGCTCAAATAGTGGTGATGAATCTCTTTATTCTCAATGAGTCGAAAATGCTTTTTCATTATTGGATCAAACTCCGCAATCATTTCAAGTAAACCTAAGAAGTTGTCATTAGAGTCTTTATAAGGTCTTTCATTTGTTCCACGAAATGCTAAATTACGTATGGCAAGACATTTTACAACAGCAATAATTCTAAGCATCACTTGTTTCCAATGATTTGTCTCTTTCTTGATTCGCATTTGAAATTTTTATCAATTGTCTGATTTTTTTGTCAATCTACTTTTCAACTCAACCCAAGTTCTCTTATTAATGAGATGCTCTTTACAATTTTCATGTTGGTCAAGCTTCACACCAAGATGTCTCCAATCACTAATTCCATCTTTTGCTAACTCACTTTTTGAGGCAATTGTTTAAAATAATTTACAACAAAAGCAAAAGACTTTATCCAACTCTTTTGAGTACACAAGCCATTTCCTATCATAAATTTCACCCGTTGGTAATTTTCGATCATAGAAGTGTGAGGAAAATTTTCTAGAGAGTTTGTCCTTAGGATAAGTGAAATTAGTTTCTCGAATTGGTCCCTTTTCTTGCATTAAGACCATCCCAAACTCTTGGATCATAAATGTTTAAATGGAAAATAGGTTCATGAGACTCAATAGTTTCCTCTACACTAATATGATCATCATCAACATTTAAATCCACATCACCACCATTTTCATGGTCTTGAGACTCATCACCAACAT